TTCTTGCTCGTCATAAACAAATTAATGATAAAGACACTGTAAGGATAAAATATATGAACTTCAAGAATTAAATGACAACACTAATTCGACTTCGTAATATCATGATATTGATATTCGAAACCTGCTAAACTCTTTTTAGATATTTTCTTAGTTATAACATTTTTATTAACTAGGTAGAATTGAACATGCATTGCACGTTATTCTGAAATACTTTATGTATTGTAAAAGTAATATTTGATATCAACTTATTGGGAAGATTTGATGAGTCTCAAACAAATTAAAGAAAATAAAATTTAGGATAGATATTTAAGAGAGAAAAATTGTACTCTCAAAACTCAATTCCTATAATTCAAAAATTTTGTGATGATTAAATACTACAAATGGATAACTTTTTTTTATAAATTTGGTACGTAAAAATTAATTGTTAATACATGAATTTAAACATCCATTGAAATTCATATATACATGAATATAAATATATTTATCTATAATAACTCTAAATTTATGCAGATCAAGATTCATCACGTAAATATTCATTGAGTTTAGATTAATGTGAATGTATTTAATTGATAATTAATAACAAAAATTTATGCATGAAATTTTTTTTGTAGTATTTATTATATATTGAAAAACAAAAAGTAAGATATTATTAGAATAATTAAATTGTAGTAGGATTAAAATTGTTCAAAACATAATTCTCACTTGATGTGATATTTAATATATTATAGATTATACTACATTGTTAAAATTTATTAATAAATTCAATATTTTCGTTAAGTAATTGTAATTATTAAATAAATAATTTATTTCGTAATAAAATTAATTAATTAAATAAATTTTTTAGATAAATAATTTGTTAAGAATTAAAAAATGAAGAAAATGATGGAACATTGTTCATTCGATCCAATTTTTATTGTATTTGGTATGAGATGATTTTCAGTTTGGTGCAAAAAATTGTGCAAAACTTACTTTAAATTTTTGTCTAAGATTATAAATGGCCCGATGTATTTTTTCCCATCTCCATGCACCTTTAGAATTTGCAAGTTGAATTCGTACAATAACTCTTATAGATGCAACCCAATCAATAATATGCTCGAACACATGTAATTAAGTGATAACAATTTCTTAATCTATAAGATTTTAAATAATTTTGAGCTACTGAAAATTGACTAAAGCAAGAAATTTATTTGTAAAAAGGATAATATTATTTAGCCCCTATTTGATAATCATTCTTTCAATTTTTTATACTAATTTTCAATCACACATTCTCTAAAAAAAAATATTCTTCATGCAAATTTAAAATTTTATCATATTTTTTAATCACGCATTCTTTATTATTCAAAAATTTACTATTAAAAAACTTTTTCCAGGAAAGGGGAGGGCGGGAAGGGGCTTTGCGATATCAATAATTATACTTTTCTCACTTTCTTCCTAATGAAGAAATTCCCTAGAAAATGGTACACACTTTTGATTCGTTAATTACTTGTATGAACATAATTGTAGGGGCACCAAGCCCAAGAAAGGCAAACCAATAAATAATAAAAAAATAAAAATGAAGTAGAGAGAGAGAGAGAGAGAAATTACCCCATTGGTCCCAATCTACCTTGTCACTAGCAAGTTGATACTCAGTCTTTGAAAACAAGTGAGTTCACAAACTTCAATCATAATTGCACAATCAATCTCACTATAATCGAATCTGTTGAAATTGCTGGTGAATAGCCCGATGTCTCTCGTGCATATCAAACTAGATTTGGTTAACAATGTAAACTGATGTCCAAATAATTGACATAAGAGAATATTTAATAAAGATTTAGGCATTTTCTAAGTAAGCTAAATATCAATCGAGCAATTCTTTAACAAAAAATTGTATTTGACATGAAACATATTTCTATAATGACCCTAGTGATAATTTAGTGAAGATTAGCCCCTTTTATGGATAGTGTAATTCTCTAATAAAAAAATATTTTTCATCAAGAAAATATTTAAGGGATTTTCTGACAAAGTTTTTGTAAAAATTTTAATGGATTCTAATTGAAGTTGATAAATTTTATAAGGTTAAACAATATTCCCTTACATATTGACCAAACTACCGAAAATCCATATCTTTTGGAAATAGCACTAAACGTCCATATTTGAAACATTTAGCTCTTGTTTGGTTCTCGTTATTTTCAAAATATATTTTTTTCTTTTATTTTTTAATCACACATTTTTTATGTAAATTAAAAAGATTTCATTATTTTTTAACTGTACAGTCTCTATCAAACTACTACTTCAAAATGTATTTTGGACAAAAAAAAAAAAAATGGAGCACAAACAAGCAGTTAGCATGGAATATCTCTTACCATTCTTTTCTCAATCAAAAATTGTGAAATAACTGATATACCCACTTAATCAAATTAATAATTAAGAAGAAGAAGAGAAGAAGAATAAAAATCTAATTACAATCATGGTACCAATTTTTTCAAAAAATTACAAATATGTCCCAAATAAATAATTAAAAAAATCAAAACTAAAAAAAGAAAAAAAATTCATTTCCTCTCCCTCTTTCTCTCCGACCACCGCCACTCACTTTAGGCTCCATTTGGGAGTAATTTTGAAAATTGATTTTTTGATTGTTTCAAAAAAAGTGGAGACGGTACACCCGTGAGAGAAGAAGTGAAACTTTACGACTGGAATTAATCCAATCTTAAAATTTCTCTCTAACAATTCATTTCTATATCCGTTTGCAAGTGATTTTGAGAATTAATTTTCTGACCATTACGAAAAAAGTGGAGGCCACTTATAAGAGAAGAAGTCAAATTTTAGGGCTGAAATATTGAAATAACGGTTAAAAAATCACTCCCAAACGGTCCCAAAATGATAAAGCTTTGAAAATCAATTCTTAATTGAGGGATTCAAATCTCGAAAATCTCTCGCAACCACCATTTCTAAAATCTCTCTCTCTCTCTTTGCCTAAAGGATTCAAGCCCTCCTTGGCTCCACTGTTGGCGCCGTTGCCACAGCTGAAGAAAAACCCATCACGAATTCTAAATATTTTCAAGATGACTGTCGGAAGAAAATCTAATGCATTAGTTGATTATAATAACCTCCTCTGCCTGATCGAGCACCCAGTTTGAGCCAGATGGGAGCGATTTGCAAGCAGTAGGATATTTCTGCTAATTTTGATTGGATAAAAAACCCAGATTGTACCGGAAGCTGGAGAATTTGAGTCCGATGAAGAGGGTATAATTCCGTTCTCGGCACCGATAATGGTGGCCTTCGGTGGTTCTATAGTGGCGTTGGAGCCAAGGAAATTAATCTGTGGAAAAGAAGAACTGTGGTTCGACATTGTCCCATTTATCCATTTTATTGTGAAAGCCAAGCCCACGCAGGGTACAAAATAGTCTGAAGCGGGAATTTCCAATTTTTTTCTTTATTTTATAAACTTTCCATTTCGATTGAAATTTGAAGTTTGTCAAGTATAAATGGGATTGCTATTTCTGAATAATGTAGATAATTGATTTAAATATCGAGTGATTAAAATTATTTGCCCTACAATTTCTCTTCCAGATCTTTTATTTTCATTTCTCTTCTTCCTTTCTCCCATTCTGTCAACCATGTGAACAGTCTCTTCAACAAAAGATTTAAAAGCTTTTCTCAGGGTTGCTGAATAAAGCATTTGGGAAAAATGTTGGGGTTAATCTGTAGAAGATGTCGGCAGATGTAAAATGTTGGGCAAATCACACCCACTAACATAAGCTTGGCTTAGAGGGAGCTTGTTATTCAGCCTCGGTGGTGGTGGCAGTAGCAGCGACGACGGTGGTGGTGGAGGTGTTGGGAGAGAGGAAGAGGAAGTGAATTTTTTTTTATTTTTTAATTATTTATTTGAGATTTATTTATAATTTTGTTTTTTTGAAAATTTTGGGATGATGGTTGCAGTCAATAACTTTTTTATTTTTTATTTTTATCTTATTTAATTGATAGTTTATATTTGTTATTTTATAATTTTTTATTAAGAAAATGAACGGTAAAAGATATTTTACACTAATAGGGACGTTTTGTGTTATTTTCAAAAGGCATGGAATTTTCGATTGTATAGCCAATAGGTAAAAGGAAATGTGTGTACAGAAATATGACTCACAAAAATGTCACATACATCACACAATAGGGGCGAGGGATTTTTTTGGCATTTTTTTATCACAACTTGGAGTTTACACGTTGTGAGTATCTGGTTGAATTTTGTGAGCCATTTTTCTATATGAATGACTTTATACATAAGTAAAAGGTCAATAGAAATGTAACTCACAAAAATGTCACATACACCACACATTAGGGGTGAGGGATTTTTTTGGCATTTTTTTATCACAATATGAGGTTCACACATTGTGAGTATTTGGCTGAATTTTGTGAGCCATTTTTCTATACGAATTACTTTATACATAAGCCCCCGTTTGGTTCCCATTATTTTCTCATTAAAATGAAAAATATAATCGTCATCTATCATATCAAGCCATCAAATTTGAATTTTTATTTTTTGTGTGAGACCTATAACAGTTATATTTTTCATTCTCATTCTTCTAAAAATGAAAAAACAAACGGGGCCAAGTAAAAGGTATAGTAATGTTTATTCATTTTATAATTAAAAATTGATATAAATTATGTTCCTATTTAGCCCCCTTTATAACTCATCAATTTAATATAAAATTTTATTTCTCCTATTTTCAATAATACAATTTTCAATAAAATAATATTTCACGTAAATCGAAAATTTTTCATTCTTTTACAATTATTCATTTTTCTAAAATATATTATTTTCTTCATTATAAATTCAAATAATGAAAGTCAAACGGCATGATTCCTATAAAATATTTGTTAAAATTAAAATTTTGCGTTCAAAAAGTTGTTGAAAACAAAATTTTACAAGCCCTAAATAGGGATTCCTTCAACTGCAGTTACTGCACTATTGTTTCCGATAAGGACATGCTGGTACTTAGGTGCATCCAACTGTCCCCCAATAGTTTCAAAGTCAGTCAAAATCCTTACAACTTACAACATCCCCTGACTAAACCCCTCTTCAAACCCTAAACTATTCAAGAAATAAAGGTGCCTTCATCTTTCTTTAATTCAAAGCTCTAATTTTCCTGTTCACTTTTGTCTTTACCCTCTCTCCCCCTCTTTCCCAAAACTTCCGTTTCTCTCTCTTTCACACTTTGTTGCATTCTAAAAATCTAGGGTTTTGTTTCCTTTTTTGCCTTTTTTCTTGATGGGTTGTGTTGTAGTTCAAGAACAGTTGGGTTCTACAGTTCATTTGAGTGAAAGATTTTCTACATTTTCAGAATAAGTTTTGATGCGTGTTCTTGGGGTGTAATCTGTTTCAAGATTCAAACCTTTTGGGTTACTTTTTCTCTTTTGGTCTTCTTTGTTTGGTTAAGATCTAAAATTTTCTGTTTTCTTGAATTTTTATTGGCCCATGCTAAATGAGTCCGTTCTATTTTAGTGTTTTAATTTTTAGAGTTCGTTTTTCCTCCCTTTTCTTGGGTGTTTAATTCTGATTTCTTTGGTGTGTCAGTTCCAAATTTGCAGATTTAGTCCGGAAAGGGGAAAGGCCGTATTTTTGCAGGGACAAAATTTATAAAATTTGATCTTATTGTGAAATTTAACTAAGTAAATGAATGGATGGAAGAGAAGGAATGTCATTACCTGGTTCAGCTTCTTATTACTTCAATAGAGGAGGAATTGGGGGGTCTGGGGGTTCAGGACCAGGTTCTAATGCACCGGCTGCTGGTGGAGGGTCGGTACCGGGAACTTTACCTGCCAGTGGTGGGATGCATACCCCAAGCAGGTTCAATCCTGTTTCGAATCCCATTGTTCAACTTCAACCCAATGTAGGTGCTAGTGGGAGTGCTACGAGTGGTTCAACATTTCACGTTGAGAACCCATCTCCCATTTTCCCCCGCCGTAGCATTACCAGGGGTGACTTCTCTAGCGCTTCGACTAGTGGTGATCCGGTGAAGAAGAAGAGGGGTAGGCCTAGGAAATACGGTCCCGATGGGGCTAACATGACATTAGCATTGTCTCCAATGTCTGCCTCCACATCTTCCACGGGAGTTATCGCCCCAGGTGAGAAAAAAAGAGGGCGGCCGCCTGGGACTGGATGGAAGCAGAAGCTGGCGCCTCTCGGTAAGTTTTGTTTTTGTTTTTCTCTACATAATTGGAGTTAATTACAATATTTCATATTTGACTATATGTTTTAGATCTTTATTTATAGTCTAATCACTCTTTATATAGTATTTTGTTTGTAAGGTAAGAGCATTTTCTCAGACAATAAGGAAAGAAACTCTTAATCAGATCATGTTTGGCTATCTTAGAAAATTTACTTGCGAGTGAAATTTACTTATTGGCAAATTAATAGTTTTTAGAATAAATAAAATTAAATGTGAACTGCAGGGAACTTGAAGTCTGGGGGAATGCAATTGATGCTAGTTTTATTTTATGCCCCCTTTTGGCCACCATTAAATTCTATTTCATTTTTCTCTCTTATTTTCAACCATATAATATTCCATAAAATAATATTACACGGACATTGAAAACTTTTCTTTCTTTCTCAACTACTCATTTTTAAAAAAAAAACACTATTCCACCCATTTTCATTTCCATAAAATGGGGGCCAAACGGGGTCATATTAAGCCCCCAAGTTGTGGTTGATTGCTGATTCCTTTTCATTCTTGTTCTTTTTGAATGTGCACCTAAATGAATGGTTTTTGCTGAAGCCACTGGCACATACTGCAGTAGTCTAACTGGTTTTGTTGATTGTAAATTTTGATGCTTTGATTATGAAAGTTGAACACAAGGATATACTCTCTTCTACGGGGATTAAAATATATTCCAACCTCTCATTCCTGTCCCCAGTAGGAAAAATACTTAAGAAAAAGACAACTAGAATGGGAAAACAAAACCAGGAAATTCTACTTGTTCATAGCCCCTGAATTTTAGATCAAAAAATCTCTCTTTTAGCCACGTGTAGATTTAAATAGATATATTTATTTTATTTTTTTATTATTGTTATTGTTCTTTTTTGTGTGTGGAGAAAGAAAATCATGTGTGTAAAAGATTTAATTTCTTTCATCAGGTGAATGGATGAACAGCTCAGCTGGATTAGCTTTTACTCCACATGTCTTACATATTGGAGTGGGAGAGGTATGTTTCAAATTCTTTATCTTCATCTCTAATATTTATAGTCTCCCCCATCAATAGTTTTTGATAAGTTATAAGCATTCCATTTATTTAGATCTATTATGAGGTCGATATTCTTTCAACGGTGCAATTATTTTGTTATACTTATATTTAATGTTTGATGGTGAAATTATTTTGTTATACATGTGTTTGACGATATGGCTCCTGCTCTTTTTTCGTTATTGTGTGCAGTGTGCCTTATTGGACATATATTGTTGCATGAAATGAGCATGTATACATATGCAATTGGTAAAGCTATGGATCGATTATTTATTCAATATTATAAGAATTCACAAATAAATTGTTTGCATCACTGATCACATTCTATTGCAGGAGAAGTGATTTTATTTATAATTTTTTTCCGCAGGATGTTGCAGCCAAAATATTGGCTTTTGCACAACAGAGGCCAAGGGCTTTATGCATCTTGTCGGCTAATGGATCCATTTCTTCTGTGACTCTGCGCCAACCGACCACTTCTGACGGAACTGTCACATATGAGGTTAAGATTATTTTAGTGCTTTCTTACTCTTAAAATCAGAGACATCAGAATTATTTTTTTTAATCATTATTCCGCTTTAGAATTGGTTAAGTGGAACCATATAGACATTCGACTATTAAGTGATGTTGTATGGTTTCACAATTGATAGTTATTACTTTGTTTCACCAAACTCTATTAATCTAATGTTTTAAACTTACTCTGTATAGAATATATTGTTAAAGTGCTTTTGTTGTGGCATTTCTGAATTACTATGGTTTTTGCATCTATTTTTGAAAAGTAAAATGTATTTTGATTCTCCATGAGCTCTTGGTGATGAGAAATAAAAGCTTATCTACATGACTTTTATGTTATCATTTATATGTATTTTGTAAGAACATGCATACCAGCGAATTCAATGCAATTGGAAAAATTCTTTCCAAAAAAATGTATTTGTTTCTTTCCATTTTGTCTAGTTGGTTGCTTTACTAGCAGAAACTTGAATTCCATCGTAAGCTATTTTCGCAAATGAAAATAGAGATGATAAACTTTATGTCTAATCACAAAACAGACAACTTTTCAGTGATGTCTGATTACTGTCTAATGTTTTTCGTTTATTCTCTTGTAAGTAGTTTTTCTACCATTTTATATTTGTTCCTTCTGTGCGACTGTTCATATCTTTGTGCTGGACACTTCATTATCAAGCTCTGGATCCAATATCTGTAAATTCTTCTCAGATTTATCCCCTGCTAATTACTATACTTGGAAGTAGCGTTATCATTAATCTAAGTTGAATTTTTATCGAAAAACATTCCCTGAACTTTTTGGCCATGATGATTCTCTATTTAAGAATATTTTTGTTTACCTCATGTCTTACTACTTTCTTTTAGGGCCGTTTTGAGATATTATGCTTGTCGGGGTCTTATTTGCTTGCTGAAAGTGGTGGTCCTCGCAATCGGACTGGCGGTATAAGTATTTCGGTTTGTAGCCCCGATGGACATATTATTGGTGGTGCAATTGGTGGTAACCTCATTGCCGCAAGTTCAGTGCAGGTATGGTTGTGAGCACTTGTTAATTTGAGATCCTGTTTGCCTAAGCTTTTAAAGTTAACTTATAAGATTTAACATAATTAACAATTACGATACTTATTTTAACATTAATGTAATAGCTACTTTCAAAGTACCTTTTGTTGAACCTTTTTAGCTTTAGCGAAAAATGCTTTTATTACCTCTGCTATCATAATTCATACGGTAGAATTATTTTGACATGGTGCATAATCAATGTTTATATAGGTGGTTGCATGTAGCTTTGTATATGGTGGTTCTAAGGCAAAGGACAAAACAGTCTCTGAACCAAAAGACGAAAAAATTCCTGCAGACGAGTCTGCTGAGAAGTCGTTAACCCCAGTTAGTGCTGCTCCAAGTCAAAATCTCACTCCGAATTCTGCAACTGTCGTTTGGCCACTAGAGACACGTCTTAATATGAAAAATTCGCAGGCGCAGATTGACTTAATGCTCGGGTGATACAAAGCTACAATACCAATATGGTAGTTTTTGTATATCGTTGTATATGAAATGTGCCCGGGAAATTAGCCAAAACTCAGTCTGCTCTTGGGTAAATTGTGGGTTGTGCTAACATATCGAAATAGAGTTTGGATGCTAGGTTCTTAGGTAGCAATGGTGGAGACTTAAGGTTGTACTTGTTGGAACTGATGGAACTATTAATATTTGTAGCAGGTTAATTATGTTCTATTAATCAAACTGGATTCTCTTGATTACTTGGTGGGATTTCTTTCTTTGGTCACCATTCCTGTTGTAACCTGAATCTATTTGCAGTACCTTTTGGTGATGCATTATTAACTATTCTTATTTTTCTTTTTACCAGATTGTTACCTCTGTTATTTAGCATATGTTTTGCAGAACTTATAATTGCTTCCATGCTTATTACACTTTGTTTCTGTAAGACACACTCAACTTTTACTTCACTTATAGCTTCCGTTTGGTATTTATTTCATTACATTTCATTTTTTTCTCTACTATTTTCAACGACACGATTTTTTAATAAAATAATATTACATGTAAATCGAAATTTTTTCCTTCTTTTTCAATCGATTATTTTTCAAAAAAACACTATTTCACCCATTTTCATTTTTCAAAATGGGGGCCCAAATGGGGGCATAATTTAATAAAAAGTGGTACCAATGCAAATAATTCCAAACTTTCAACTCTAATAGCAAAATGTACCAAACAAATAGAACACCACCGTTTACAATATTCGAGCTCTTATTTAATAGAGAAGAATCTTAAACAAAATACAGAATGGAAGTTTTGAACGCTTAACATAGAAAACATGAAGATAATACTGCTAATTGACATCCTCATCAGGATGTTTATTACTAGTAACTGAAAGACATAACAAGATGGCTCTAATGCTTAGGGGATGTTTATTACTAGTAACTGAAAGACATAACAAGATGGCTCTAATGCTTAGGGGATGTTTATTACTAGTAACTGAAAGACATAACAAGATGGCTCTAATGCTTAGGGGATGTTTATTACTAGTAACTGAAAGACATAACAAGATGGCTCTAATGCTTAGGGGATGTTTATTACTAGTAACTGAAAGACATAACAAGATGGCTCTAATGCTTAGGGGATGTTTATTACTAGTAACTGAAAGACATAACAAGATGGCTCTAATGCTTAAGCCTTCTCGAGCAGCTTCTTTATGTCCTTCTGCAAAGTACGAAGGGAACAAATTTTCAGTTCTTGATTACCTTGCCAATGCATGAAATTGAGATTGCCAGATAGTATGGATGATATTTACCTCGATGCTAAGAGGAGATGTTGTGGGAGCATAGCGATCAACAACACGCCCCTCTTTGTCAACAAGGAATTTGGAGAAGTTCCATTTAATACTGTCCCCCAAAAAACCCCCTTTGCTCGACTTGAGGAACTTGTATAGTGGAGCAGCATTGGAACCATTTACATCAACCTGAACCAAGAAAACACGATCACGGTCAAAACCCTGTCAACAAATTCATCTAATAGACATATATCATCCTCTTTTTCATCTTAATAATCTATATTGCCGTCCACAAAACAACCTTCATATCAACTTTTTGCTAATGCGCTTGTTTCCCTTTGTCATAATTAAGATTGTTTGACTGAAGAAATAGTTCATTTATAAAAACCTAGAAATAAGCTCCTCAATGATTATTACCTTGTCAAATATGGGATACTCGGCCTTAAATCGGGTGCAAGCAAACTGTTGAATCTCTTCATTAGTGCCAGGTTCTTGTGAGCCAAACTGATTGCATGGAAATGCCAGAATCTCCAAACCTGTGCAATAGGCAAATAACAATTCATAAATTCTGGCACTCAAAAAAACAAAATAGGGCTTTAAAAGTTATTACGTTTCAACTTACTACTGGTTATACCTTTAAATGGAACAGTAAAACGTGAAACATTTTACCGAAAACTTACCAAAAAATGCACTTGGATGTAAAAACAGAAATAGATTTATTTTCACGTATTTTTTGTCATAATTATTGGTTGTAAGTTCAAAAGTATCCCAGTTTATTAATCTGGCAACTTCCCATTTTTGTTGTCAATTTCAAGTATATATACTAGTATACTTAATGAGATAAACATTGATTTGAGATATTCCACGCTATAAATGAAATTCCCATCTACACTTTTTTCTCCTAAGCATCCAAATTTTATTTCTTCTTTCAACTCTCTTTAGTCGCATGAATATGAAAATTCAGCCCAATGACAAAATAAGTAAACTTCACAATTATTGTCCAAGTGCACAATCAAAGCGAAGAAAAGCAAACCAAATCAAACCTTGATCCTTGTACTTCTCATACACCTTTGTCAATTCCGTGTAATTTGAATTGGTGAGACCGCTGCAGCAAACAAGGAATAAGATAAGTTTCTTCAGAAAAGAGCGCAAGAATAAAAATAGGCCACTGAATAAATATACAGAAAATGCAATATTTAATACAAATGAAAAATAAAAACATGGAAATTGGCTTGCAGGGATACCAATAAAAACTGGCTTATTTCTATCACCTTATCGAGTTACAGACTTCTTGTCTTTCGAAAAGAAATTATTGCAAAACAAAATCATTCTTCATTATAGAAGTATTTATTATTATATATTACGATATCCATCGAAAGCATAAATTGAGACTTTTCTGCAAAGAAGAAGAAAAAAAAGCAATCGAAGAAGCTACCACACACCACTGCGATGCAACATTGACGATTAATAGGACCTTTCCTTTGTAAATGCTCAAATCAACGTCATTCCCTTTAGCATCCTGCAACCACAAAATTACAGAACAATAGCAATTTACATTAGATAACATGTTTCATTGAGGTATGCTAAGATAACAATGGAAAAATTCATTCACATTCAAAAACATTGAGACAAATTCCAACAATATTTACGAAAAATAAGCAATTTAGCTCCAACTAAAAGCCAAAATCCATTCCAGACAAGATAATCCTTTTTTTTATTATGCTACAATAAATGAAGGCAACTTTAGGGGCATGACGTCAAACTATGAGAATCCTTTTATGCACACACAGCATTAGAAATATGTCATGAACATATCCTATTTTTGCAGCACGTAATACAAGGATGGGGTAGGATTTTATAAGCGTTTTACATCATAAACATTCCAAATAATAGTATAAACTAATGGTACTTTTGGTGCGTTGGACTAGGCCCCATCACAATAAACGATAGATCTCTTGTCAATGGAGTATATAAAAATGCAAAATTAATTGTTCCAATGGTTATTGGACGTATATCTATGTTTTCGATTGCTTACTGAAATTTAAATGTTGAGTTTTGATCACTGAACTTTGAAAAATGTTGTACGTTACTCATTGACATAACTTCCGTCTCAAACCTCTAATGGAATTGATGACATAGCTGACAACGCACATGCCCCATCACATCGTTAAACTTAGAGATAGTCGAATTTTGACCACTAAATTTTGAAAAATGTCTTCTATTACTCACTAAACTTTGAGGTGATTGAATTTTGGCACTGAACTTTGATATATTCGAACTATGCCCACTAATATCTAAAAAACCTTTTCTATTACTCACTATAAATTTGGATATTATTAAATTTCTATTTATCTCCCTTTAAAACAAAACTCTTTAATTTTCATGGTCATTTTAATCATTTTTACATGTAAACTTAATTTTTTTTTCATTTTAACCACTCATTCTAAAAAAATCACTATTTAAAACTTCTTTTTTTAAAAAATAATGACCATCAAATAGGGGCTAAAATCCGTTGTTAAAATTAAAATTTAATTTAATTTTAATAATAAATATATTGTGCGTTTCATTGCAATTAGTAGTTACTTCCTTTGCACAGCTTTGCAAAACGTCTTCTATTGTTCACAATAAATTTGAATTTAATTAAAATTCTTTATTAAGATTTGAATTTTATTTTATTTAACAATAAATTTATTGTGTGTTTTGTTGTAAAAAATTCAAATATTATGATGATAATGGCTTAAAATTCTACAAAATAAATTAAAATTAAATTTAACTACTTTGTAATTGAGTAATCATTCTTAGTGGTATAGACAATACTTGCAAGACAATGACTACTAATTGCAATGAAACACATAATATATTTAATGTTAAAATGAAATTAAATTTGAATTTTAACAACGAATTTTAGCCTTT